AACTAGTTGTTAAGTCTGTGAGCTATTTGAGTCAAGGAATCTCATCTTTATCGTCTCTGCCTTTGTACTTAGACAGAGTGCTTGGCACATAGGTTCTCAATAAGTAATGTGAGAGAATGAATGCTTATAGACGAGAGATGAGAAGGTCTAGATAGAAACGGATAGATTCTGGAAAAGCTTCCAAGGTATATATTGGGTGGAAAATGGAAAAGATTTTCTCTCCCCTCTCCCTGCGTGTTGAACTTTTCAACAACTCCATAATGCCAGTAAGTCTAAATATCAGTAGCCATTAATTTATCCATGTTTTTTTCCTCAACATTTATTTGTCTGGAATGCCACAGGTTAGAAATCAACAAGCTGTAATTATTGTAATAGTGGCTTGAACCCCTCTATCACTCTAGTTCCCCTCTTCTCTCTGCTGAGTTCTTAATCCCAGAACTCTTCTAATCCTGGCAGCTCTGGTGGTGGGGGAAGTTTCAGCAGCAAGGGCAATTTGCAGCTGGGCAGCAGTGGTTACTCAGTATGTAGAAGGTGTCCAAAAGTTGAGCATAAACTGGATATTACTTATTTGTTTTTCCATTTAACAAATGGAGACATAAGCGCTTGGGAGACTTGTCGAAACACATGCACAGGCCAGTGTAAGCCCAGGTTTTCCTGATACTGGGCTGGTACTTAACTACAGTTGATTTTTTTTTTTTTTTTTGAGACAGAGTCTCACTCTGTTGCCCAGGCTAGAGTGCCGTGGCATCATCCTAGCTCATAGCAACATCAAACACCTGGGCTCAAGCAATCCTCCTGCCTCAGCCTCCCAAATAGCTGGGACTACAGGCATGCGCCACCATGCCCGACTAATTTTTCTGTATATTTTTTAGTTGTCCAGCTAATTTCTTTCTAGTTTTATGGTAGAGACGGGGTCTCGCTCTTGCTCAGGCTGATCTCAAACTCCTGAGCTCAAACAATCCGCCCGCCTTGGCCTCCCAGAGAGCTAGGATTACAGGCATGAGCCACCGCGCCCAGCCTACAGTTGATTTCTTGACTGATCAACCAAATCCATGTACTTTCTTCATTTTTTCCGATTCCTTCTTGCAGAATGATTATATGTTAATTTTAATATTGCTTAATACTGTCTGAGCCTGCTCTTAGGCTCCTGTTGAATATGTTCACTTAGCTGTGACCTTGTTCTTGTTGTGCAAATCCTTACCAGTTTATATCACTTGTTTATCTCTTTGCTTTCAAAATTGTTCAGATTATTGACTCTCAGTGTCTCATTCCATTTTCACTTTCAAAATGATATCTTTTATATTTTCTTCTTGGTTGCCATGACCAGTGTGTATCAAAAAATTGGTTTATCTTTTTTTATTGATACATAATGTATGTATTTTTGGGGTACATGTGATATTTTGATACATTCATATAATGTGTAAGGATCAAATCAGAATAGTAGGGATATCTATCACCTTAAACATTTATCTTTTCTATATGCTGGGAACATTTGAATTATTCTCTTCTAGCAAGATGAGGAAACCGAAGCTTAGGACGTTTAAGTTTCTCTTTTGAAATACACAATAGATTATTATTGTCTACTATAGTCACCTTATTGATTTATTGAACACTAGGTCTTACTCCTTGTACCTTACTGTATTTTTGTACCCATTAATCAACTTCACTTCATTGCCCCAACTGCCCTCCCTCTGGTAGCCACCAGTCTACTCTCTATCTTCATGAGATCCACTTTTTTAGCTCCCACAGTCATTTGCAGCAACATGGATGGAACTGGAAGTCATTATAAGTGAGACAATTGGTTTATACCAGATTTAAGTAGGCCGGCCCTATAGCAGAAATACCAGGTACTGTGAAATCCAAGCACCCACCACTCAGGCTGACAGCTTTGGGCCTTCTTTGTGTGTGTAGCGGAGGCATGTGTGTTCACAAGGGCAGGGTGGGGGTGTGTGGCAGAGAAGGGAAACAGGTGGGAGTTTAGATATTGCATTTCCATAAGGATTTTTAGAGAGATGAAGCTGCCTAAAATTTCGTGTTTTCTAGAAGACTTTGAAATTGGACCTAGGGTAAATTTCTTCTTTCTGATATTCAGTTAGTTTTAGTTCTTCTGTTTCAGGTCCAGAATTCATATTCCTTTCTAAAAAGAAGCATTATGTGTTGTTACATAAAGTGTTGGTTTATGCATATGAATGAGGTAATGAAGATGAATGGGAAATGGGTTCTGGAAACCTCATTCTATACCATGTTCTTATACGTAGCTCTCATTATTATTATCCCTTTATGTTCTAAGCACTGTAATGTGGATATTACTATACACATTGTATAGATTGAGGAAACTGAGCCTTAGTAAATTTAAGTGTCTGTCTGAAGGTCACACAGGTAATCATTGATGGAGTTGCATTCAAACCTAAGTCTTTTTTAGCTGCAAAGATTGTATTTTTAACAATTATATCATTTCCCCACATTTTCAGCCATATAAGTAACTTTTGTCTCTTGCATTTTTCTCTTCAATTTCAGAATCTTTTATGGAACATAATAATAATAATAATAAATCTAGTGGCTCAAAACTAAAAGAGACTGAGTGTCTGGGGTAGAATTATCACTATTTCACTGGGGAAAGTTTGTAGAAATGTCAGGTGGGAGCAGTGTGGAGGGTTGGGAGAGTACAGAAGAGGCTGTCCTCTGGCTTTTCATGAAAATATAGTTGCCTGTATTTCTATACTGGAGCCTTGTCACTGGCTCCAGAGTTACTCCAAGTTTTAGTCTTGCGTTCCTCAGAGGCAGAAAGACTTTTTAAGTGCTCTGGAGTGGGAGCTGGAGAGATTCCACAGTTGTTGACAATGGCTTAGGTGATTGGGAATGCCTTCTCTGGCCTTAGGGTCGGGGAACAAACAGCATAACATTGCACAACTAACTTATTTATTAAAAAAAAATTTTTTTAACTGCCTTCCTAAGAGAAGATACCATAGCTAACTTGAGAAATGTTTTGGGCTTCTGACTTTATTAGCAAACAAACACATCTTAACTATCTTACGAGTTGTAGATTCTAGAATCTAGAGCAAAGGACAAATGCTAAAAATACATGAAATATTAACTTTTGGTCCCATTTTTAATCTTATATAACTTAGATCTTATCAGAGTTCTGGAAACTGTAACCTAAAATAGATATGCAGCATTCTAAGAAATCTCATTCACATCTGTTTAGGTTTTTCATTTTGTGTTTTTGTAACACCCTACCACCCAGAACAAGTATGTGAATCATTTGTGTGTTTATTAGCTATATGGCAGACCAACTATGTATATGGCAGACCAACTATGTAAATCCATCTAGGAATTTGAAGGGACTAAAGGTCTCTTTAGAAGATAAATCTGAGCCTGTGATGTTAATAGTAAGAAGGTATTGGGATAAAATTTCAGGCAGGGAACACCACCTGGTGGTGAGAAGGAGGATTTGCACCTTCTAGAGTTGTATTTGCCATAGTGATATCTTTGTCAAAAAATTACATTCTTATTTGTAACGATCATGGATTCAGATTTCTAAGAATAATTTTCTGCCAAATGATTCTAGCATTCTTTCATTAAAACTGCTGTCAACTGCTTCATACATTATTATGCTAAAAAAAAAACCCCTGCTGTCAAAACCTGCAGGCTAACCAAATAATTGTGTCCTACAGAACTGAAGTTTTGTGTTCCTTGTTCCAAACACAGGTCCCATTTTTCTCTGTACAAAATCAAGTAACATGGCTGGGCACAGTGGCTCACACCTGTAATCCCAGCGCTTTGGGAGCCCAAGGCAGGAGGATGGCTTAAGCCCAGGAATTCGAGACCAGCCTGGGCAACACAGAGACCCTGTCTCTATTTTTTTTAAAAAATTTTTTAAAAAATCAGTTAATGTCTTTTCACTTCTTTATTGCATTTTCTAATTTTGATATCATGCTTATTTTATGTGGTAAATTTCTGCCTAGTGGAGTGATGGAGAAGGAAATATTTCTGATTTTTCAATAAGTCTTTGGCAGACATCATATAAAAGGAAGTCACTTTTTTTCTCCCTCAAATTATAAAAATTATCAAGAAGAGTAATAATTTTCCACAGTGATTATTAGGGTGAGCAGAGTAACAATTTTTTATTAAAATTCATATCTGATATTTCTTTTTTGTTGCAATAAGCATCTTCATTATTTGGCAATCTTGAAACTAGGTAATTCTGTAGTTGGGTAAAGTAGGGACATCAGCCCAAGGAGAAAGGATCCTATTAAGTTAATGTGGATGTATATTTTATAGGCCTGGAGGGGAGAGGAGGATAAACAAAGTTTTAAATTTCAGGTTGAGCCTTGGGCCTGCATGCCATGTCTGTATCTTTTTTCCTGGTAGGAAAACTGAATCCAGGCCCTACCACCATCGCAAAGTCTCTTGGGAGAGGACTGTTCACGTAAGGTGCTAGGCTAAAGAACGTGGCATGGCTTTGCACTGCTCTCCTAGGATTTTTCTTAATATAAGTAACAGAGTATTATAACATCTGGGTTTCAATACTCATATTTACCAGACACTGTAAAAAAACTGCGCCATGCACAAATGCTTACATATTATATAATTCTGTTTATTTGAAATGTCTAGAATTGGCAAATCCATAGAGACGAAAAGTAGATTTGTGGTTGCCAGGAGCTGGGAGGGAGGGGTTGGGAGGAAATGGGTAGTGCCTGCTAATGGGTTTGGGATTTCTTTTGGGGAGATGAAAATGTTTCGAAATTAGTGGTGGTCATTTCAGCATTATGTGAATATACTAAAAACCACTGTACTGTATGTTTAAAAAAATTTAAACTAAAAAAAAGAAAGCTGATCCATGGAAGAATGAATGAAGTCAATAAAAATAAAAAGGTGGTTGTTGTAAAAATTCTTTCACTTATGTTCTAGCAGAAATGTTGTCTGATAATCTAAATATTGCAGCTTGGACCTTGAATGTCATAGTTTGTACTTTATTACCCTGTTCCTGACCTTTACAGGGCCACGATGGGCCTCCTGGAACATTGGTGTGTTCATCTGCATTCGATGTGCTGGAATCCACAGGAATCTGGGCGTGCACATATCCAGGGTAAAATCAGTTAACCTCGACCAGTGGACTCAAGAACAGATTCAGGTACTTACACGGCCCCAGAGTGAGTCAGCTGCTCCCATATACCCATGTAAAAGTAGTTCCAGATGAATTTCATTCCAACTGGACACAAAGGTGAAGATAAAGGAAAATTTAGTTGTTAAACACTTATGTTAAATTCCCACATCTTAATAACAGGGTGTGTCATCTTTCTGTTTAAGATACAACTTATTCTACCTATATTTTTACCTCCGTCAGGACATAAATAGTCTATCGTCTAGGACCGCATGGGTCCATGAAGGTATTAAGAAAGATATTGGTTTATCTTCTAAGACCCTTGGCATTTGCAGATCTAACATTTTAGATATCATAGACTTATAGAAATAAATCATAAACTTTATTATAGAAATATTTTATTGCTAAAACGCCTATATGAATCTTGCTTGTTATTAGCTTGGTGAGCTTGAAGTGAGATACTTAAGTATCTGGCTGGCCTAAGATCTGCACCTTGATGTAGCTTCATTGTTCTTTATTCTCTTCTCACCTTGAAACACTTCAATTTTAAAATGTTTTTCTTTTGGGGGGATAAAAGGGAGCCCCCCTGCAAAAAAACCAGTTGCTAAAGTTGGTGATGGAAATAAAAGGTTATTCTTAACCAAAAAATGGCTTTAGAAATTACTTTAGACTACATTTATAGATTTGTTAAAGGTCTAAAAAAGCAAGTTACATTTTGCAGTAGTGCTTTACTTTATCTTATGAAGGAAATTACATACCATGGAGGTAATTTGGGCATTTGAAGATTTAAAAAGCTCTTGGGATTTATCCCTCACAAGTGTTAATGGATTCATTTAAAGGCCTAGTGGGAAACACACATTTATGGGTAATGAAGATTACCAATATATTAATTAATAATATAAACTTAGAATTATAATACTAATTATTGCCTGTCAAGTAGACATTTTGAGTGGTAGCAATGTATCTTGGACTTTCAAATGAGACCCTGAATTATTACTGAATTAAATGTATCTTGGCAGACAAATCTTTCAATAAAAAGAACCCATAGAATGGGGGGGGAAGACAGCTAGAGGGGGAAATGATTGGGAATTCCTAGAGGGTAGAGAAAATCATGGATTGGAAATCAGAATACACAAGTTTAAATCTTGGTTGTGCCAGTCTCTAGGTTGGTTCTTCAATTGTAAATGGTGGGATTGGGTGAGAAGTTTGTCTATTCATTCCTGATCTAACATTCCATGTTTCTACATTCTCTTTGGTCACAGTGCATGCAGGAGATGGGGAATGGAAAGGCAAACCGACTTTATGAAGCCTACCTTCCTGAGACCTTTCGGCGACCCCAGATAGACCCGTATCTTTTCTGGAGCAACTTAGAAGGCTGAGTGGTATTTCGATGTCTGGGGAGAGTCAAACAAGACTCACAGCTACGATCTAACTGGGTCATCTCTATGTGGATTAGTCAGAGTCCTTGCTTTTCTTTTGACCTGCAACCAAGACATGCTAAAAACAAATGTATATTTGCTAATGTCAGAATTGTCGTGTAGTGTCTTGGAGAAGGTTCACTCAGGAATTAAGACTGCAGTGATTTCAGTGTGAATTCTTCCATAAAATTACATCTCCTTTAGTTTATTTTGGATCTCTGAAACTATTGTTTGATGAAAAGAATAGTTTACTATGCTCTGTTGAACTCTAGCAGTCAGCAAAACTACCATTCCTTTTTATTGTCTTTTTATGTCCCATGTGAAAAAATTAACTATTGTTGACCAGTTTATCAATAACTTTCTTTCTCCATCTGTTCAACAGACTTCCTGAAGGCAGTGCTTCTCAAAATGTGGTTTGTAGATCATGTTAGGGTTTGTTTTTTGGTGGGTGCAGGTGAAACCTGTGAAGTGCAGATTCAGGGCTCTGCAGAAGACCTGCTGGTCAGATTCTGGCAATGGGGCACAAGAGTTTATATTTTTAAGGGGCACTTAGGTGCCTTTGTTTGAGGCCTATTGACCAAAATGCTTTAAAATTGATAAGTGACTGCTTTACCTATATTCTAGAACAGCCACAGGAACCTCTGATGTTAATATGAAGGTTAATTCCATTTGCTTCTGTCATCACTCTGAAGGGTACTCATAGGAAATAATGATTTCCTACAGTAACCGTGAAGGAGGCATTCCAAGGTTTTGGTTAGAGAAACTGCTTATGAACAGACAGGAGCCGTGTGGGGAAACCAGGCAAGAGGGAAGGAGAATAGTGCTCCATGGGATACAAATTGACTTTTTATATTCTTACTGTTGGAGAGACTTGTTTGATTCATCCTTAATAAGCTTTTTGCAGAGCTGTTGAGGGATTTATTCGAGATAAATACGAGAAGAAGAAATACATGGACCGAAGTCTGGACATCAATGCCTTTAGGGTTGGTTTTAAATCTTTCAAATTTTATTCTTAATAAATAATTTGCTTATTAATCAAGCCAAGGAAGAATTTAAAGAACTACTACCAAAATACTCCCAAAACCATTATTTAAAAAATGCAAAAATAGAAGAAAGCCAGTTATTAAGTCAAGACCATGAGATATGATCATGGAGCAAACTGGGGGGCCAGGCAAACCATCAGTTAATTCTTTGCCCTAGTCTCTGTTTAGAAGATGTTAGTGGACCGGGCGTGGTGGGCTCACGCCTGTAATCCTAGCACTCTGGGAGGCCGAGGCGGGCGGATCATTTGAGCTCAGGAGTTCGAAACCAGCCTGAGCAAGAGCGAGACCCCATCTCTACTAAAAATGGAAAGAAATTAATCGGACAACTAAAAATACATAGAAAAAATTAGCCGGGCATGGTGGCACATGCCTGTAGTCCCAGCTACTCGGGAGGCTGAGGCAGAAGGATTGCTTGAGCCCAGGAGTTTGAGGTTGCTGTGAGCTAGGATGACGCCACGGCACTCTAGCCCGGGCAACACAGTGAGACTCTGTCTCAAAAAAAAAGAAGAAGAAGATGTTAGTGATTCCCAGTTTGAAAGTATTTCTCAAAATGGACATGTTGGGTATACTAGGTCAAATAGAATAATATGTGTGTGTATATGTACTATAGCTCTATCTATATATTGCTATATATACACACAAATTTTTTTTTTTCTGCAAATGAAATCAACAAAAGTAGGTGTAATTAAATCACCAGAGTTTTCTTCAGTTTGACCAATGTATAATTTTGGCATTATCTGCTGATAACCAGTGTGTGGGTGGACTGACTGCCAAGGGACCCTTGTTCCTGAGAAGAGTTTCAGAGGGAGATTGACTACCAGTTACCACATACCCATGTCATCCTTGGGATGTTTAGAATCTGAAATAGTGTGTGAAATCTAGTACAACACACAGGAGGAAATACATCGTGGTTTCTGGAAGAAGAAAATGTGCCTGACTAATGACAATTTAAAAAGAACCAATAAGTATGACCATTTATATCTTTAAACAGCCTTTGACAAGATTCTATAGTAAATTCTCTTAGGAATAATTGACTTTTTCTCTAGCCACAGAAGCATAAGGAGTATGGGATTCTCCAGTTCTAGCACAGGTCCTATCTATCTATCATCTATTCTCATTATTTATTTTAAGAGGTGATATAATAGTGAAATCACTGATTTCTCACAGGGCTCTAAGCCCTTCCAGGTACTTAAAAGTCAAGCTATTGGGATCATCTTCAGCTTGATCTTTTGAAGCAGTGTGAAAACGGCATTAACTGGTAGGCGAATTTCAACACCGGCAAGTAAATGCAAGATGATACATGTAGCTCGGTAAAAATCATTCCTTCTCAACCTAGTATGAAGGACTCTTACAGTCATCTAGAAAAAGAACTTGTCAGTTATCATAACTGTTCCAAGAAAGAATTAACCCAGTGTACAGCTACGGCTCAGATGGCATCATCAAAAAGGGTTTAGAACCAAAGCGCACACATTTCGTTTTGTTCATAGAAAACTATGGTCTGTCTGCCTAGCTCTGTTCATTGTGCCTGAAGATATGAAATCAGATGAGGTCAGAAAAGGTTATCTGAGGTTAATTCTGAAGATGAAGGAGGAGGGGAGGGTTGCTGTTTATACACAACTGTTGTTTAAACAGCATCTCTCCTCTCAGGTGCTCATAATTGTGTTACCAGTGTGCTGTGCCCATGAAAGCAAGTCTGTTTTACTCACTAGATGTTTTCACTTAGGAAGGAAATACCTCCTGTTTACCAAAAAGCTATTCCAAGAGTTTTTATAATTTAACGTGCATAAATTTTTTTTTAACATTCTTGTGATGATTTTTAATGCCAAGAATTAATATTTGCTAAGTGAAGACATCTAATATCAAATGAAAAGAAACTGGGCTTGTCGGTGGCTCACGCCTGTAATCCTAGCACTCTGGGAGGCCGAGGCGGGTGGATTGTTTGAGCTCAGGAGTTCGAAACCAGCCTGAGCAAGAGCGAGACCTCGTCTCTACTAAAAATGGAAAGAAATTAATCAGACAACTAAAAATACATAGAAAAAATTAGCCGGGCATGGTGGTGCATGCCTGTAGTCCCAGCTACTCAGGAGGCTGAGGCAGAAGGATTGCTTGAGCCCAGGAGTTTGAGGTTGCTGTGAGCTAGGAAGACGCCACGGCACTCTAGCGCGGGCAACACAGTGAGACTGTCTCAAAAAAAAAAAAAAAAAGAATATTCTTTTTTTAATATACAGATAAAACATTTTTAACTCTAAGAAATAAAGTGTTCGGTGTTAAAGTGCTACACTATGTATAAAAAAGACATAGTTGCATGTGTTGTGATTGTAAAATTATTTTAGAGAAAATACGAAACTTAAAGTGGAAAATCCATGCATACTCTCGCTATCTTTAGTGATTGTCATCATCTTATGTTCCCTCTTTCTTTCTGTATAGTTACTTTTTGCAGGCATAATTATAATACTGTTATATAAAATGTCTCCTGCTTTCATTCCACTTAACGTATTATATAGTTCTGTGTTCCTTATGTGGTTTTCATAATTTTTAATTGTTGCATCATCTTTCAGTGAGTAGCTAAATCACAGTTTATTTTTAACATTTCCCCTCTGTGGCATAAATGTTGTTATTTAAGTTTTTCTTTAGCATAAATAATTCTGGGGTGAACTTATTAGTACATCTAACCTTTTTCATATTTTGGATTATTTTCTTAGGATACATTACAAGATACTGTATTATCTAGGTCAACAGGATATCTAGGTCAAAGGATTTCAATATTTGTCTCTTCATACTTTTGCCGATATATCTTCAAAAAGTTATACCATATTTTATATTGTCTTCTCAGCATTGTATAAGAGTACTAGTTTCAATTCATCCCTACCAACATTAGGGATTATTATTAAGATATATCTCCTCCTTAAAATGCATTTTAAATTGCATTTTTGGTCACTGACAGGACCAAACATTTTTTCATATATATGCTGTACTTTCTTTTATGTGCCTGTATTCTTAAGGTTACTTTGTGGTTCTGTTTTACATTTAAATGTTTATTTGATGTTAAAACTTAATTTTTGTTTTTCTGGTCTTTAGACTTGAAATTAAGGTTTATTTTCTAATTTTTAAAAAAGGAGACGAGGCCAGTCATGGTGGCTCACACCTGTAATCCTAGCACTCTGGGAGGCTTAGGCGAGAAGACCATTTGAGCTCAAGAGTTTGAGTCCAGCCTTAGAAAGAGCAAGACCCCATCTCTACAAAATAGAAAAATTAACTGGGTGTGGTGGTGCACACCTGTAGTCCCAGGTAGTGGGGAGGCTGAGGCAGGAGGATCACTTGAGCCCAGGAGTTTGAGGTTGCTGTGAGCTACAGGGACGCCACTGCATTCTAGCCAGGGCAGTGGAGCAAGACTTTGGCTCTGATCAATGAATCAATCAATAAAATATTGAGAGGACTTATGACTGAATATATAAAATCACAAAGGACATAGTTGAGTAAGATGAACTATTCAATAGTGTACCAAGATGAGGGGGGACCTCTCAAAGCATGAGCAAGTTAAATTCGGAGCAAAAATAAGCAGCAAACGGGTAAAATTTTTTGCCTCTGCAGATAGCCTAGACTGCAAATTTCAAGAGTCATGAGTAAGTTAGACAGACCAGGAGGGCAGGTGTTTGGAGGATGAAACAACATTGAGGCTAACGTGGAAGAGGTCAACTCTCATGTCCCGCACCAAGACACCCCCACGTTTGTCAGACTGCTGCATCAGAATCAATAGGGATTTGGGGTATCCTTTTTGGACATCTGAATTATAATTTATCAAACTGTGAGTCACCATGGGGCCTGTGTGCTTTGTTTTGTTAAATTATTATAGAAAGAAAAAGATGACAAGTGGAAAAGAGGGAGTGAACCAGTTCCAGAGAAAAAAATGGAGCCTGTTGTTTTTGAGAAGGTGAAAATGGTAAGTGGGAAAATATTTGCACTGTGTGAATGGCCTCATGTATGTTTATATGTGTGGGGGGTAGGGTGGGGTTGATACCATACTGCACCATTGCACCTCTGGCTAAAGGGTTGCACGTCTGGATTAGATCGCCTGCTGCCATTTCTGCTTCTCTCCCATTACCTGTTGCTGCCTAATCTGCTCTGTAACAATTCTCTTTGGGGCCACATGGGAGCTCTAAGCAAGAGGCATATTCCAAGCCAGAAGACCACGGCTGTTTGACACCTTCTGAGCAGATGCTACCTCCACATTAGTCCTTCCCATTAGAGCTTGTGTACCTCATTTTCTTATTTCAGTTGAGAACAGTCTGGAAGTCAGGCCATACTAATCGATTTTGAAGGATTCCCTCCTTATATTCTTGGTTTGTCGTATTGAAGGAAATACCTTTCTTTTTCCATAGGACATATTGTGGCTGTAGTAGTAGACACTCTAATATATAAGAACTTGAAATCTTGGGAGAAAGGATTCTATTTACTATTGCTTAAGGAAGAGTCTTTTATCATCATTCTGAATCACATTATCTGTGGACACAGCCACTAGTGATATTGGCAGAGTGAATTAGGTAACCCTCATTACCTAATCTCCCTTTTGGTGTTAAAGTAAAAGGTGTTCTAACCACTGGCGTATTTGTTGGGTCTTGGCTCTCGTACCATCAGATACCTACCTTTATTCTTGGCTTTTCTTGGTACCAAAAACTGCTGCTTCTGTTGGATCCCCTGATCTGTGTTTGTCTTGGTTTCATAAAGATCTGTCTCTTCAGAAAGCCAGACAAGCACAGATGATATCTTGGTTTTTCACTTCAGCTTTGGTTTCTGCACTCATGCCTCTTGACTTGATTCTTTCACCTGACACTTCCTGAGTTTTGTTTCTTTGATAACTCTTTTTTAATAACAGCAACCATACCACAAGAATACCTGTGGCTTTACAGTGGAGAGCGGGAAAAGGTTCAAAAACATCTGCTTATTTCTTTCTATAACATATTTTCACCTTAGCCACAGAAAAAAGAAGATCCACAGCTACCTCGGAAAAGCTCCCCGAAATCCTCAGCACCTGTCATGGATTTGTTGGGCCTTGGTAAGAGTTAGACTTTTCAACTCCCATATTCTTACAAATTTTGATGAATTGTCAGTGACCCAGGGAAGATAGGAAGAGATGAGATTCTCCAGTTTGTGTCTTCATTACTAAGATTGTTCTCTCACATTCTTCCTGTTATGTTTTACATCCAAGCAGTTGCTTTAAGGAAGTGTTGACTGTGACATTTTTCAGAGTGACAGTCCAGTGTAGTGGTTAAGAGCATGGCCCTTAGAGCCAGAGTCCCAAACATGCTACTGTCTGTGTGACCTTGGGTAGTTTACTTAACCTCTGAACATTACTTTCCTAATCTATGCAGTGAGGATAAGAGTCTCTACTTAAAAGGTGTTGTTCGGAGGATTAAATGAAATGATGACTTTAAAGCTCTTAACCCTTGCCTGGCACATCCTAAGCACTCAATAAATGTCAGCAGTTTTGCTAAACAGCCCCTTCGAGCCTCATGCCGTTTCCCGCCACTCCCTGCCCCCATCTCTTTCATTTTTCAGGTGCAGCCTGTTTCTGAGACAGCTTGTTACCTCGTGGTCATTTTTCTCCAAACCTTTGAAGTCCTGAACTAGTGATTCTTCCCTTTCAGAAAGAAAGCCATTTTCTACCTTTCACAGCACTGATTATTATACTTTGCTTTAATCTACTTCTGCTGATTTAGATTATTGACTGCTTAGGCTTCTAATTTCTATACCTTTCATTACTCTCTGAAAAATGAATCCTACACACCTTTGCCCTTCAAATAACCAGAAGGGAGCTGGCCAGCCCCACAGCTGTGGTGCTGATGAAGCCTCCAGGCCTGAGTTTCTGCAGCCCTGGGCCTGATAGCTGGGCTACAGGCTTCCCCAAAGTGCTCTTGGGAATGTGGGGTGAGGCCTTTTCTGAGAAGCCCCATCTAAGCTAGATGGTTCCAGAAATCTGGATTTCCAGGTCCATGATGGAGCTCATGGCCTTCTCTGTCTACTTCTTGTCTAGAATAGAAGGAAGGCATAGGCTTAGTGAGCATTACTACATTTTAACTTTGATCTTTCTTTCTAGATGCTCCTGTGGCCTGCTCCATTGCAAATAGCAAGACCAGCAATACCCTAGAGAAGGATTTAGATCTTTTGGCCTCTGTTCCATCCCCTTCTTCTGTTTCCAGAAAGGTAAGTCTTATGGATTATACCCTCCTCAGCATTAAAGAGCATTCTGGAAAGGGTGATTTGATAACTTAATCATAGAACCAAGTCATGCTGCCTTGGTGCAGTTGGACTTTAGTTTTCTTGATTCTTGATTCTTCCTTTAACATTGTCATTTCTGTCATACCCTAAGATTACTCTTCATATCACTTTGCCTCCTGCCCAGAAAGGGTAGACCCTTTGGGTTGGCCTCTGTCTAGGGTGTCTGATACTGTGAAGGCTGATACTTTAGGCCAGCTCCTGAGCCTGAGTTACTGCCGGAGAATTGTAGGCATGAAAGACTTGACAATTTTAGTGGTTACCATTTGTGAAATACCTGCTGTGTCCCAGGCACAGTGGTAGGTGGTTTTTGTATATCATTTTTTGTATTTCATTAATAATTTCAAATCTTCACCACAAATCTGTATAATGTATATTTTACAGATGAGGAAACATTAGTTCAGAAAAGTTATGTGACTAGTGTTTGGCTGCACTGGGATCGAAATTCAGGTCTCTCTGCTGTATCATTTGTGGGTTGTTTTGTTTGTTTGTTCCTGCTAAATCACACTGTTTTGCTGAAGAAGAAAGAATTGTACTAGAGCTTAACTATTGTTAAGGTGTTTTCAGATATTTTTATGGTAAAGATGTTAACTTGAGCCATGAATTCTTATTGCAAATGTTGGAAGCAGCAGAGAGGTGAGGGAAATTCTTAAAGAGACCCCTATGACCTCCCTGCTCCCCCCCGAGAACCATTCCAATTCTCCCCCTACCCTCTTTGCCCTAAGGTTGTAGGTTCCATGCCAACTGCAGGGAGTGCCGGCTCTGTTCCTGAAAACCTGAACCTGTTTCCGGAGCCAGGGAGCAAATCAGAAGAAATAGGCAAGAAACAGCTCTCTAAAGACTCCATCCTTTCACTGTATGGATCCCAGACACCTCAGATGCCTACTCAAGGTAGATTTCATGGGCATGATGGCGATGTGCCAGGTAGAGACATGAGGGCTTACGTGTAGAAATTATTTGTTGTGACGGGACAGTTGCTTTGGCGACCAGGACATCATATACCAAAAAAGCCTGAACATGACATTTCTTGTGAGGCCACAAAGTATCAGCAGATAGATATTAGTGTAACTCAAAGCCATTCTTCTGTAGGGTCTAGGGTGACACCTTTGTGAAGTCTGACTCAAGGTCTGGATCTGGACCCTAAAAGAGAAATGGCTAGGTCAGCAACCCATTAGTCAGCTACTGCAAATCTTGTACAGAATCTAACTACTTTACTGTGTAAAAGAGCATACTGATTTGAGTAATCCTGAGAAATTCTAGCTGGAAAGGAGTATCCAGTGAGAATTTGGACTGACTTTGTGTTCTTTCCTCCATAACACACCTGTATGTATGTTTTCTTGGCAGCAATGTTCATGGCTCCTGCTCAGATGGCATATCCCACAGCCTACCCCAGCTTCCCTGGGGTTACACCTCCTAACAGCATAATGGGGAGCATGATGCCCCCACCTGTAGGCATGGTAGCTCAGCCAGGAGCTTCTGGCATGGTTGCCCCCATGGCCATGCCTGCAGGCTACATGGGTGGCATGCAGGCGTCAATGATGGGCGTGCCAAATGGAATGATGACCACCCAGCAGGCCGGCTACATGGCAGGCATGGCAGCTATGCCCCAGACTATGTACGGGATTCAGCCAGCTCAGCAGCTGCAGTGGAACCTTACTCAGGTAAATGACCCCATTTTACAAGGAACAAGAGTTTTGAGCCTTCCTCAAGTTTGTCTCGCTTTGTGCCTCTCCCTTATCCTTTGAATCCTTTCCATGTAGATGAGATAATGCCAGAGACATTCCTAGGTTTGCTTTTTTTTTCCCTAGTATGTCTGTCTAAAATCAGACTTTCTGAGGAATTCTCTGGTCCTGTAAAATAAGGGCAACTGCTTAAATCTAAATCTCTCCACACATTCTCAAAAACAAACACACACAAAACCTATACAGACAAGAAATGCATATATTCTACCACATCTAGTAGATAGAATACTGTAAGCTTCAAATGACATGGCAGTGGGCATATAAACACCCAAATCCAACAGAGCCAGCATCACAGAAGAGACTCTGTAAAAAGAGGAGGAACAGGGGCCTAGAGGTGACAGCACAGATGAAACCACTTCCCACCCCTGAAAGGAGAAAGACCTGCCCTGATCAGAGACATACGGAGGACAGGTCTGAGACCTGGCAGGTTAGAACTCCAGTTACTTGAAGGATCACATATAAGGGACTCGAACTATATAGGAGTATAGGTGGAAAAGCATTGCTTCTGGGGGAGATGGGCATGACTTAGAAGGAAGAGATAATCTTTGCAAACCTGGTGGTAAAAGGAAAGAAAGAAATCAGAGATGGAAACAAGAATCACAAGAGCAGAATACACACCATCCTCCTCCCTCCAAAATTGTTGTTCTACTAACAGAAGCTGGTGCTCTTGAACTAAGAAATTTAGTAAGGCTCCCCAAACCCTCCCACCTATCTATTATTGCTGATTCAGAAAAACAAGGCACTACAAAAATAACAGAATGTGGCAGATGATGTTTATAAAACACTATGAGATCTTGATGAGTAAGATCCGTGTATGGAAAAAAAAATAAAGAAAAAAACACTGAGAAAAAAGTATTGATAGAAAATGAAAATCAAAACATTACAGGTAATGAAAAATTCTCCCCCCCCAAAACCTGAATTAAATGTCCTTAAATAAACATTTGCAGATAAGAAAAAAACAGTTTAAATCAGAAATTCAAAAACTTAGAACCAAAAATGGGTAAAAAACTGGGCGTTGTGAACTGAAAGTTTACTGAAAGGAAAGAAAAAGACAAAATTATCTTAGAAATACAGACTGAATTACAAGTTATCCAAAGGAGAATAGACTCACCTGAAAACATATTTGGGATCGAGGAACGGCACGAAACAGCCAAGATAATGAAAACTAAATGTACAAAGGAGTAAAAAGAATCAAGAGTGACAATAATGTAGAAGTTAGGCAAAGAAAACATCCTCATATATATTTGGAGATGCTGAAAGGAGTAAAACAAAATATGGAACAGAATTAGTATATTTAAAACTATAGTACAAGAAAACTTTCTAGAATAAAAATCTTCAATATAATATTGAAGGAGCCCACTGCGTGTCTGGGAAAATTACCCAGAACAGTCAACTCTAAAACACATCCCAGTAAACCTTGAGACTTTAAAGAACAAGAAAAATTCTCAGGACTCCAGCCTTCTCCATACCTCCTACCCACAAAAATCTGTTACTTAACAAAAAAAAGAATACCCAGGTTGACATGAGACTTCCTAACAGCAAAATATAAAAAGACAACAATGGGAATAGTATTTTCAAGACACTCAAATACATGCACAACAAGTATTTTATAGCCAGTCAAGCTATCCTTCAGGTATTGAGACTAAAAAAAAATTTTATTGCAAGAACTCAGGGAATATCATACTTATAAGCCCTTCCTGAGGACTTTAACAGAAAATAAACTTCATTCATCTAAGAGATGACTGGGATCATTTTTGGCAAAAGGAGTGATGGTGAGCATCAAATGTTTAATTGAGAATCTAAGACTAAAACAAAGGTAGGTGACAAGGGTGGCAGAATACACGTTGTATTCTGACAAGTGGAAATACAACTAAAAATAATGGGAGGAGAAGGGAGAAAAAAGGGGGAGAGTAGAATAAGGTACTTGATGGTTGCATAGGAAATAAGTAAGTGGAAGTCAAAGATTATATAATAATAAGCTGACAAATCAAATCATGGAAGCCTGAGTAAGTAAAAAGGACATTATTAAAAGTATTAGATAATGGTAATCATTAGAACTAAAATATGAAACTTTCTATATATCAAAAAAATTTTTAGCACAGCCTACAAAGTGCAGCCAATATTATAAGCACAGTAAAAATATAATACGATGCAATTGAGACCAAACTTATTAGTCATATCATATCAGGCAACTCTTCTATTAATATCAAAAGAAAACGATGTTGAAATTGGCTTACAAAGCAGCGCCTCATTTTAAACTAGGTACAAAGAAATATACCTGAAACAAAGCAATTTAACAAGAGAAGAGATAGGCAAAGGAATACCAGAGGAGTGGTGTTTGTACACCACACATGCATGTACGTGCTATCTTATTGGGGCAGTATCAGTGTTATACTTTATAAAAATATTTTTATGTTTTTCTTTCTCTGTGGTCTGGAATAATTTATGTAGTGTTGGTCTTTGATGATTTTGTAGAATTTCCATGTGAAATTGTGTGACCCTCTTGCTTTCTTTTATACTAATTCTTAAATAATTTTCTCTGTTTCTTCTATAGAAGTCAGTTTTGGAAAATTGTATTTACCTAGATTATTCATTTCACCAAGGTTTTTAAATGTATTTATCAAAAGTTATGCCAAGCAGTCCTGTTAATTCTTTCAAAGAACCAGGATTTTGATTTATTTATTGGTTCTACATTTTTCTGTTTTCTATCTCAGTTTCTGGGTTATCTTTATTATTTCCTCCCATATGCTTTCTTTTGGTTTATTTTGTTATTCTTTTTCTAGCATTCATAGTTAGGATTTTAATGCACCTATTTTCATTCTTTCATTTTTATTTATATAAGTAATGAAGTGCTATAAAACTGATGGGAACATGTCAAAGGGACACACGAGCCAGCTTCCAGAGGCTCCCACTGGCCAAACGTGGGTGATTTGAACATCAGAAAGAATAATGACAGTTGTGGGCTGTAACACTTTGAATGAAAAAAAAATCCCTGAGTTCATAGTGATAAAAGGGTGTGGAATGGAGGGAGGGAAAGCCTTCTTTACAGAAGAATGACAGCTAATAATTTTAGAAAGAACAACGTAGTCACTCATTCTCAAAGAATTACTCAGATTTCTTATTAATTACAATGATAAAAATACGGCTACCACTTTAGCTAAGTGATCAAATGTAAAATTACCAACAGTGAGACAAGTTAAATCATGTGCTTTCTGATATCTTGTATTAATAGGGACATAATATCACCTACATAGAATTCTTGCCAGAAATATTTAACTTGGATGAAATCATGAAAAAACATAAGATAAATCCAAATTAGGGATATTCTGCAAAATAACTGGTCTGGATTCTTAAAAATGTCAATGTCAGAAAAAAAGGAAAAAAGTGGTAGGGGAAGTGTTCTAGATTAGAGACTAAAAGATGAAGATGAAATGCTATGTATAGTAGAATATTAATGTTAAATTTCTTGAGTGTGTTAATTGTATTGTGGTTCTATTAAAGTGTTCATTCTTATGAGGTGCCTCCTGACTTACTAAGGGGTGAAATGTCATGATACCTGCAACTTTCCATGCTCATTAAAAATGTTTTAAATTTTTGTACAGAGAGGGAGAGAAAATATGGCAAAATGTTAACAATTGGTGAATTTAAGAAAGACATATATGGGTTTCACTGTATCATTCTTTCAACTTTCTTATAAGTTTGAAATTTTCTTAAAAAGTTGGTAGAAGAAAAATAATTAGACTTTCTCCTAAAAAAAAGAAAAAAGAACTTATGCAGAAAAAAATGTGCTAGGCTCAGGAAATTCAAGACATTTTTCTTTGATAAACTTTCTTGTGTTTACTGCCAGGGGCCAGTCTTTCAGTTAATCGAAGGAAGAGGCCCTGTGCCGTGGTCGTTCCCCTTCCCCCTGTACCTTCCAGGCCTTATTCCTCTGACTCTCTTCTCTCACCTCCTTCCCTTCTCATGCACTGAAGACACATTGGGTTGTTTTGTTTTTTGCCTTTCTTTGTTCATTGTGAACATTCTAGTTTGCTTTTTTTTCCCCCTCTGCAAATGAGCGAGCGTGCACAAGCGCTTTCCCTGACGCTGACAGTATTAGGTCTCTGCCGGAGATGAGGCAGGAGTGCCAAGTGGGGGCTTTTCCTTCAGCTCTTGGGGTTGGCCAGGCAGGTTAACAATAGGCCCCTTGTGTTTAGGATGAGGGCCTGGAAAGGAGAAAGAACTTCTCATGCTGCTTTTCTGTTGACTAGATCTGGATGTCTTCTTTCCCTCCCTGAGCATTAGTCTCTGTCAGCATCACACTCCCGAAAAGTCCTTCATGTACGTGGTCTTGAAACAATCTGACTGTTAAGGTCCGGGGTGTACCACATGTAACAGTTTCCCTTTGTCTCATTCTCCCCATCCCTGCAGACAGAAGGACTCCCACCCTGCCTTTTGCACTAATTGGCTGATGGCCACAGCCAGGTCTGAAAGTCTCCTCTCTCCCTTTCAGATGACCCAGCAGATGGCTGGGATGAACTTCTATGGAGCCAACGGCATGATGAACTATGGACAGTCAATGAGCGGCGGAAATGGACAGGCAGCAAATCAGACTCTCAGTCCTCAGATGTGGAAATAAAAGCAAAACACCTGTATGGCTGCCACCCTCCTGAGCCCTTGCTCTCCCTATTTCTCTCCTTTCTCCAACTCTCCCCACCCCCAGTCCTCTTTTCCTACCTCTCTCTGTTTGATTTAGAAATTGCTCAGTAAGTCATTTGGGGTTGGGCATCCTGCCCAGCCCAGCCACTTCTCAATACACGAAGACCTCTCTGTTGCTTTACGTTGTACATGCCCCTTAGACATCCCAACTTCTCCCCCAGGCTCTCAGCCCCTGTCCTCCCCTGGCACCAGCACCTTAGAAATTGTTGGCAGAAGGCACTTAAACTGTGGGAGAAATGTGCATACCTTTGAGTACCTTCCTTCAAGGTTAAACCTCCTATCAGACTCCGGGAAAGGTCTATAGGTGTCATGTATTAGGTAAAGAGGGGAAAGTTTAGAGGTCCTTCTATACGCGTTAATAAGCTGTTCCTAAGTGTTGAAATTTGAAGAGGGAGGCATCATGTTACCCATGATTCATGGGAATGAAGAAAGTACTGAAATCAAATCCTCCTTGGGTTTTGGATCAAGTTGACCCTGCCCCTGGGGTGAAGCAAGCCCCCTCCTGTGAGGATGAGCAAAAACATTACTCTCTTTCTCTGAGTTGCTTTCTGGATCTGGGGCTTCAGGAGTTGCTGCTTCAGTCAGCCTTCGTTAGCACCAAAGACTTTGTGAAGATCACACACACAAACACATATCCCTTCCCCGCCCCCGAACTGCCTTCAGTAGGATCTGACTCCATGGCTGGAGGACCAACCCCTACAGTGGGAACGCAGAGCTTAACGTGTGTACTGCTTGTGTGTATGTTTGTGTGTGTGTGTGCACGTGTGCGTGTGTGTATTTTGCCTCCCACTCTCCCCATCTGCTCTGGGTGTTTTTGTTTTTTTAGTTTTAGGTTTACAACAGAGAGGAGTTAATTTATCAACAGCCTACAACTGTTGCCAGTTTTTCTTGTAGTTTAAAAAAATTGCCATCTCATCTATAGCGCCCTTTCTGCTTTCCCTTCTCCCCGTCCGCCAATCACTTTCATGCCTGTGTGTCCAGGGTGCTCTGTGTCCCACCTTTCCCGGGTGTGTGAGGCACAGGGCCCGGACAGCTTTCCTCTCAGTCATTGTTCACCCCACTTGAAAATTCAAACAAGAGAACTTTGCTTAAAAGATTTCATGTGTGGGAACCACAATTCCTGGTTGCCTTTCTCCTGTGTATGTGTAAATTCCTTAAATAAATATTGCAGGGAAGGATGATTTGCTTGGCTGTTAACTATGTGTCACTCTTGGAGGAGGGTGAGTTACACCCAGGTTTTCTGTTTTCCTCTGGCAGTTCCTTCTTGTATGTTAGAAAATTCTATACTTCTCATACCCAGGGGCCAGGCCCAGCCTTCAGCAGTCAAAAAGGGGGCACTTCTTCAGTGGTGTCTAGAGTCGTGAGCTGAGGGAACTGGACATCTGCACCTGCTAGAGTCAAAATATCAGAACAGGTAGTTTTTCCCATGCTCAGATGGAGAAGCTGAGACCTAGAGAAGGGCATGAGTTGGCCAGGGGTCTACTAGACTCCCAGTGTCCGGACTTCCAGCCCCTTTTCCTTTCCCTATACCACGGCAAATAAATAGTTAAATTCCTCCCTGCTGAAACAGCAGTAGCTTTGACTGGTGAAGGTAACTCAGCCCATCTCGGAACCTTCAGAACAAGAAGCAGGAACTGGGCCTTCTGAGCCAGTGTCAGGAATTAGAATGTACATCCTGGGGGTGGTGTGAAACACAAAGGCAAATAGTCTTTAGCCCATTTCCTCCTCCATTTGGCTGCCTTTCTGCTCTCAACACAAGGGGTTTGGGACCCTTCCTTCCCTTTTCCCTTGGAGGACACCTTTGACTACTTACAGATGTAAGCCAGAGGACAGCACAGCGACTAAGAAAGTGAGTTCTGGATCAGGCTAGTACTCATGTAATCTTCTTACTTTGGGACCCGAGCAAGCTACTAAACACCTGTGTCTCAGTGTAAAACGGGGCTAATGGTAATACTTAGGATAGTATGAAGTAATTCCTGTGGTGTATTTAGCACAGCATTAGGCACTTAGTACTCAGATGTTAGAAAGTACAATGTGCCAGACCTATGTTGGTCATTAATTCATACAACAAATATTTAATAAATGTTTAGGTTATGCCAAACACTGTCTTGTGCTCTGGAGATAAAGCAATGAATAAAAACTTCCCACTCTCATAGGATAGTGTGGTAGGAGAGATGGACAATAAACAAGTAAACAAATCGATTTAATTCAGACAGTAATAAGAGGGGAGAGCGGGTATGGGAGCTACTTGGATAGAGAGGTCAGAAGGAGATTGTATTTGAACTGAGACCTGAACAAGCAACCAGTCATGTGGAGATCTGGAAAGAGCAGAACTAGTACAAATGTCTGTGTTGGAAATAGTTTGGCTGGAGGCATCAGTTTGGGAGTCATCAGGGTCGGGATGCTGTGTAAAACCACGAGACCCAATGAAGTCACCTAAGGAGAAAACATAGAAGAAACAGAGACTTGAACACCATCAGCTTTTATAATTTGGGAAGAATAGAAAAGAAAAATAAAATGAATCTAATACCACTCCTGCTCTTAAGGAGCTCACAGTCTCTTGGGGCAACAAATTTATACTTTCTTATATGATGGATTATGGGAGATTGGGGTGGGGCACCTAGCCCAGTCAGGGAAGCCTTCCTAAGGACAGGGCACTTGAGCTGACTCTTAAAGGAAGAGGCAGCAGTTAACCAAGTCGGTGGGTGTGGGGGAGCATTCCAGACTGCATCATGTGAACAAAGATACAGAAATCTACAAAAGCATAGAACATTTCGGGAAGCACAAACAGTTCGGTATTTCTAAGGTGTGGTGTGAGTCAGGGTGTGGTGTGAGGTGAGACAGAGGTGGAGTTGGGCCAGGTCATGGGGAGCTGCCTATACCCTGTGAGGTTGTTTAGCCGGAAGTGTGAATGGTGGAGTGACATGGTCAGATTTGAGTTTTAGGGAGCTCATTCTTGCATCACTGTGAACAACGTGTTTGAGGAAGCAAGACCAGAGCTAGGTGACCAGAGAGACAGCAAGAGTGGACCTAGCACCATGGTAGTGGGGGTAGGAGAGAATGCAGTGGCTTAGAGCAGCAGTTCATGAACTGATCATGAGGCACGTGAGATGCTAAAAGGTGTTCCACAGAAATGCTAAAGTAAGCTTGGGAAAGACTGCATGTTATATCACTTCATGTATATCTACAGTATAGTATCCACACAGTAATGATTCTGAAATGTCCTATGGTAAGGACTTTTTTCATAGTTTTCTAGCATTTACCAACGCTTTTAACCATGGAATCCATTTTTCCGGAATACCTAGTAACCACAGGGTGCTATTTGAGGAAAGCAACCAGAAAATTTCTTTAGGGGGTACAGTTGGGAGTTCTCAGTATTAGATACAAGATGCAGGATGGAGCAAGAAGAAGGAGTCAAATCTCCCGTGTTTCTACATTACGTGAAAGAATTTACAGGAGGAGAAATTAGCTTTTCTCTCTAGGCGGGGAGAAGTGAATAATTAGGAGTTTCGTTTTAGGCATATTGAATTTGGGTTGCCTGTGATATATCCAGTTCTGGTAGACCCTCTGGAAATTGAATTTAAGAGTCTGAGGCCAAGGAAGAGGTCAGGCTGGAGAAATTAATTTGGGAGTTAGCCCATGGAGGTGGAAATTGATGCCAGAGGAGTGGATGGGATCACGTAGCACAGATTTGTAAAATAAGAGCAGTGGGCTGGGATAGGATTTGAGGAGAAATATTCATTTTTAATAGGAGTTAGGGAGGAAAGGCCCAAGAAAGAGAGGAGGTGGAGTAGGGATGAGGAGAAATAACCAGAGAGTTATGCAAAACAAAACAAAACCCCAGGAAAGTACAATGTCAAGGGACCCTAGGGATTAGAGTATCTAGAAGGAGAGATGATCAGAAATGTCAAATCAGCAGGGAGATTCAGTGAGACAAGGATTGATAAAAAGACTGTTGAATTCAGCATTTGGAAACTTCTGGCTGGGCACTGGCTGATGCCTATAATCCCAGCACTTTGGGAAACCAAGGCGGGAGGATCCCTTGAGACCAGCCTAAGCAACATAGCCAGACCCTGTCTCTACAAAAAAATGTAAAAATTAGCCAGGGGTGGTGGCACACACCTGTACTCCCAGCTGGTCAGGAGGCTGAGGTGGGAAGATAACTTGAGCCTAGGAGTTGGAGGTTGCAGTGAGCTATAATGACACCACTGCACTCTAGCCTGAGCAACAGAGTGAGAGACCCTGTCTCAAAAAAAAAAAAAAAAAAGTGAACGTTGACCCCCTACCTCATATCATAACAAAAAATGCATTCTATATAGGTTGTAGATCTAAATATGAAATTCAAAATAATAAAGGTCCTAAAAGATAATATGGGAGAATATCTTCATGACTGTGAAAAAAAGAGAAGACAGGAGTTAAAAAGCACTAATCATAAAGAGAAAGATTGATAAAGGTGATTAGGTTAAAATTAAGGATTGTTTAGCAAAGGATTCCATTAAGAATGTGGAAAGGCTTGCCACGGAGTAAGAGAAGATATTCAAAACACATATGATAAAGGCATTGTATCCAGAATATATGAAGAACTCTGGCAAAAATAAGAAAAACACAAGACTATTTAATAGAAAAATAGGCAATGGAGACCTGAATAGGCACTTCAAGAGGAAACTCAAATGACTGACAAATGTATGAAGAGATGTTCAATCGCATTAGTAGTTGGGGAAATAGGAATAAAAACTGCAACAAAATAACACTAAACACCTACTAGAACAGCTAAAATGAAAAAAGATAATTCCGAATATTAGCAAGAATGTGGAACAATGGGAACTGGTAGGAGTGTAAATTGATACAACTAACTTTGGTTTGGTATTATCTATTAAGTTGGCTAGATGGACATACCTATGACCCAACAATTCTACTCCTAGGTATATACCAAATAGAAATACATGTACTTGAGCATTGAGACATGCAAAAGAATGTTCATGGAAGCATTATTTATAATAACTCCAAAACTGGAAACAATCCAAATGTCCATCAACAGAAAAATGGATAAAAAAAAAAAAAGAAAAATGGATAAATTGTGATATACCATAGAATACTATATAGCAATGGGAATTATCAGACTTATAGTTATATGCAACCACATACAGGGGTCTCACAAATTCAATGTTAAACACATTTTATTTTATTTTATTTTATTTTTGGAGACAGAGCCTCGCTCCATCGCCCCAGCTGGAGTGCAGTGGCATCATCGTAGCTCACCATAACCTCAAATTCCTGGGCTCAAGCCATCCTCCTGCCTCAGCCTCCCAAATACCTAGGACTACAGGCATGTGCCACCATGCCCAGCTAATTTTTCTAATTTTTGTAGAGATGGGGTCTCACTCTTGCTCAGGCTGGTCTCAAATGCCTGAGCTCAAGGGATCCTCCCGCCTCTGCCTCCCAGAGTGCTAGGATTACAGGTGTGAGCCGCTGCATCCATCACTTGAAAGTATGTTGCACCCTTAAATATTTGAACATGCACCTCCTAAGAATGATATTCTCCTATAACCACAATACCATTATCTTACCTATCAAAATTAACAATAGTTTTATATCACCTAAAAATCAGTCCATTTTCAATTTTTGCCAGTTATCGCCAAGAATGTCTTTTGTTGCTTTTGTTTTTAAACCAAGATCCAATCTAGCGTTATGCATTGCATTTGATTATTACGTCTATTTGGTTTCTTTTAGTTTGGAACAGTGTCTCTAACTTTTTTTCCCCATGACATTGACTTTTTGAAGGGCTCAACCCAATTATTTGGAAGAAGATTCTATGCTTTGTAAATCTTCCTATAACCTGGAAGTTAGGTCTAGAAATTTGATTAGAGTCAGGTTAAATATTTTTGTCAAGAATGTCTCATAGTTTATTTTAGGTACATCATATCACACTCAGAAGTAAACAGGAAGCACACAGAGGAGGAGGCTTACACAGTCATTGGAAAATATATGAAGAATTCTTATGAAATACTGAGTGTTCAACCAAGAATAGAAAGATGTAATTTAAGGTCTGGTGGCATTTATTGATGTGAATGCACCTACCACAGAGTTTGGATTTAAAGTGCTATATTCAGCAGCTGGACATACTTTTAATAGACAAAACTGAACCTGAGATTGGCCTATCCTAAAAGCTGAGATGACA